ATGAAATGAACAAATCTAAGAGAGGTCTACCCCAGATACATATACACCAAGTATCAAAGCATTCAGGCTTGTAGTTTTCAAGAAGAAGTCGAAAAAGTAAAAGATTGACACGAACGACGGACGTCGACGGACAATCACTCATATGATAAGCTCTGCTCGACAAAGTCGACAGCGGAGCTAAAAAGAGCTTGTTATTTTGTGTCATTCATTTTACTTCTGATACACCGAATTGTGCTTGAAATAAATATACGTTTCATTTCTGAACTAAAAATATTTCATTCGTGAAATGTATTTAACATGCAAGATTCTGTTTTTGTATTTTTTTGTTTTGGTTCATAAATCGTAACAAACTTAGAGAGGCCTACAATTGTACTGCGTCTGCAGTGGCGCTGTCTGGTATGAACACAAGCAACAAGTCATTTTTAGCGCCATTTCACAAATGGCGTCTGGTCCTGTGTCGTGTCCCTCTCACATTAGAGTGAGTATGGATGATGAAAGTGGGGGTAATTTGCCTCCCACTTCACAGAGGGAGACTTAAGAAATTAACCTTGAGGTCTCAATTTCCTGATGCAAGTGGACTTCGGTTCTGATAGAAAACAGACCATTAGGTCCCGGAACAGAATAAAGTCGTCGTTGGGCCATAAGGCCCAAACGCAATGCTGATTTAGCAGGATCGATTCTGTGTAGTGAACTTCTGACTCTGTAGCGTTGCACTATTATATTCCTTGCCCGCAAATGACCCATCATTATGACTGCCCCAGAATGTGGATGATCACTGCATATCTGATGAATAATACCATCAAGGACATCATCACTGAAGTTACTGTAAGGTGATACATTACTGCCAGTCTCACAAATCTTTCTCCACAGTGTTGTCCTGTGTACCATTAAAATGGATGCTATACATGTAGCTATTACTACCTTATACTAAAATATGTTTGGATATTCAGAGCACTAACAAATTCCAACTTTCGATCGGGTTGGACATAAAATACACCACGAATATTAACTTTTGAGATATAATGTTTGGTATGTGTTAGTTCTTGGTTATTTCAGCTTCGTTATCCTGTACTTTGTTTAGTAATTTGAACTTCCCTGATTGTGTAAAACCAGATAGTTTACAGATTTTTACATGGAAAATGCCTTGGCTTAATTATTCTCTTGCCTCTTGGTTATTATTAATTTTGGTTCCTGGGCACCTCAAATAAATAAGCTACATTGTATATTACCACTGGGCTGAATCAATGAACTATCACCTAAAAAATGGAAAATCTTTTCTTTTTTTTTACCACGACCTTTTCAGCTCGGAAAACCATTCACGCTAAATTTTGGTTCCCCGGGCGCCTCTAATAAATAACCTAGGTTGAATCACCAAATAAACATGGAAGATTGAGCGAACATTTGAAACGTTCGTTGTGATATTGCATTACATTGCGTTGTTGTTGTGCCATAAATTGCGTTTTTCGATTCCCTCAATTTTGTTTCAAAGACTGCAGTCTCACAGTATGAAAGCTTCATCTTGATTACTAAAGTTACGGTGGCACATAACTGATCTATACTGGAGAAAAATCTTGCCAAACTTCAAAGTTCTCGGCTTGTGCACCAAGGTTTATAAAGTCCACCATGTTTGATCAACAAAAGTTGCGGAACAGCGCCGCCACCGCCAAGGCATACAATATATTGTAGGCCCTGTAAGTTTGTTATGGTTTATGAACCAAAACAGAAAATTGTCGAACGAAAAAAAAACAACAGAATCATGCATGTAAAATACATTTTACGAATGAAATATTTTTGGTTCAGAAATGAAACGTATATTTATCCCAAGCACAATTCGGTGTATCAGAAGTAAAATGAATAACACAAAATAACAAGCTTTTTTTGAACATATAAATGCATTACCGAGTGAGATATAAATTGTACAAAACAAAATGGGGTATAAATAATTAAATAGGACTTCTTCGAACAGAAATACATTTGATGAAATCAAATACGAATTTTAGAAAATAAAATAATAATTATATGGAATGTGAAAAAGAATTTACAAACATAAATTGCGTTTTATGGAATGAAATATGGATTGTATAAATTTAAATCGCATTTTATGAAATGAAATAAGGAATTTACAAACATAAATTGCATTTAGGGAAAAAAAAATGGATTTTAAAAATTCATTTTTAATAATATTGCAATACTTGGCTTGCCATAAACAATAACCCACCTAAGTTTAGCCATTTAAGCCCTTTGTGCACATAAATGCTGGCTGAAATGCAGAAATATACATTGTATACAGTGAAATACTTTATTTTCGCTGAAATTAATTTTCGCTAAAAAAGCTTTTTGGTTGTTTTGTATGAAATTTATTTTTACTGATTTTTGATGAGTTTAATGTGAAATATAGGGAAAAAAAGTATATTCTCACTGGATTTTATTTTCACGGAATCATCCCTGGTATACATGTAATATAATGCATATTTTTTTCATTATAGAACAATTATCGAACTATAATACAAACCCAATTAAGGTTTATGCAGTATTCAATATTTGATAACACGAGTCAGATTTGTCGTTATGAAAGTAGTAATTATGGGATTATTATAGATCAAAAAACTAGCTAATTATTGGAGAATTCTGAATTTAATGATCATGACCTAAGTCCCAGCATGTCTAGTATTAATCTATAAATAGCAATCTAAAAACTAGATAATTTTCTGATAATTCCAGTCTATTCAATAACCGACATGTGCTATTTGGATGAGTTTACGATGATTTGGTTTCATCACAGAGTTGACCCAAACCTTCATGGTTCATGGTGGTGGAGTTCCATTCAAGTAAAACTTGGATAGGGGTATAAAATGTGCATATTTCATGAGATTTCATAAGACAGGATTATTTGCCAGCTAGTAAATAACGCGCATGTATGATAATTCAATCACAACAAAATTCGTTCTCTTCCTATAACTAAAAAATGCTAGAAAGCCGTGTAAATTACGTGCCTTAACTGTTACCTGAGTACCATTTTCAATACCAAAATTATCCAGACTGGCGACCAGTCGCAGCCGTCAAAGATAATCAGTAAAACCTACGTCATATTTTTTCAACGGCGCAGTTGACCTTCACACTAAAAATCTCAACGTTCAGTACTTCCTTTGTACAGCGCCACCAAGCGATATAATGAGTTATATGACTATGACAACCAACGCAAGTGGCCATATATGGGAAAGAGTATGTGACGTCAATCGTTGTGCACATACAAGCGCGCACAGAGCCAAATCGGATTTCTGAATACGTCAAGAGAAAAATATGTCATGTATATTTCGGTGTCTGAAAGGCTAACAATATCCGATTCTCACAATGCGATTGAATAAATAAATAAATGAATATATATATACATAATCAAAAATATATCTGATAGAAGCAAGCAACATCATCCGTGACAAATCTAGCTGAAAACTACAGAAAAACAAAAACAATTCCCACTGTTTTGTATCCTTTTCCCGCCAAAAACTAGACAGGTGAACCACTGTATCATCGCTCGGAGAATAACCCAACACAGAAAGACCCTAAGTCACTTGAGGTCTAACAATCTAAATTAATCGATCAGTACTATTTTTTTTTTCATTGCCATTACTATAAATATATAATACACTGCCTATTAATTCTACCAGTAGTAGGTTGCACAGTAATAGCGATGGAAAATCGAAAAACAAAATTAAAATGGTACTGGTCGTTTTTTTAGGATTTTCAGCTCCCAATAAACGTGAGTTGCGCCCTCTCACGGCAGCTACAGACCGTGCGATAAGATCTTTATTATTATTTTCCTAATAACTTTATTATTATTCTCCTAATATCTTCTTCAAGAAAACAATAAATAACAACGTTTATATAAAATAAAATAAAAGTACCAATAAAATAGATCACAAAGGTATATTATCATGAATCGCACAGGCTATATAGGTATGTACATCATCTTGAGTAATGAACGAATTCGAAACAGAAGCAAATGCATCTTCAAGTTCATATGGTGGAAGTGTCGCCCGTAGCAACAATGTAACTACGCGTATGTTACAATAGTTTGTACAGAAATCATGTGATAGTTGAGTGTGTAAATGAGTATTTACTAAATATACAGGAATACCTCGATGGCCTGAACGGATTGCAACTAATTTACATCAATTATATTGTAATTTATGATAATTGTGAATAATTAATTCTCTTGAGTGTATCCTTGTGATACAGCAATGCACCAATGTAATCAACTTGAAAATTCAAGGATCCAGTCTGAGTCTAATGCTGTGACAGTGGGGCCAGGAACGTACGTAAATCCGTGTGATGGGCAATGCACTGTAATGTCACGTGATTTGGTCACCACGGCTTCCGTCATGCTTACTCTTACTCTTATAGCAATAACTATACAAATGAAAATCGAAGCATCGTTGTCCGCAATTGAAACAGCGCCCTCATTCTCACTGTGTTAAGGACGGTAAATCACTCGATTACTGTAGTGTAATCCTATATATTTGTAAAGGAAGTTTATTCAGCTTTTCTTGTCTTGTGGTTCCACTTTTCCCTATCTTCAGATTATGATTATCATTACAATCACAACGTGGCAGCTTCCATGTGTACATTCCCTGCGTTCTTGTTTTGTTTTAAGTACGTACGATGCGTTAAACGCCAAATCAAAGAATAACTAAATAAAAAGTGTGATAGTCAGTGTACAGTATATAATTATAGTTTTCTTCCGAAATCAGACACTGTTGATAAATAAACCAATGTTCAAGTACAATATTATCAGTAATGCAATTCCACTGAAATTACAACACCGGGACGCGGTCATTATAATAGGGGGTTATAGAATCCTTTGTGAGGGGCACGCATAGATCTATTGTGTGCTTTATGTGTTCCTTTAGAAAAGAGATTGTTCGCTGCCTTGGCAGTTTGCTATCGTATAGCTTACACAAAGTATACAACGCTCTTTTGTCAACCCATGCATAACTCGTAAACTAGGAAGTTACATACATTTCCATTTTTTTTTTCGCTCTGGAAACCGACCTGCCGTCGGAATCGGTATGTCCTCAGGGGGAACCTCCGCTCGTTTGTGACGTATGTGATTTAGTTGTGTCTATTTTGAAAGGGCTGCATTTTACTTGCATTATATGTACTGTTTACAACGCGTGTGTACATTGTGTGTATGACTTGATCTGGGCGTCTCAATTTCCCTGACGCTCTCATCTACATATGCACATATACGAGCATCGATAACACACCCTAACTACTGGCGTGCCGGGGACACTTGAAACATCATGTCACTAAGGATTATACATGACAGCCAGTTTTATGTTAATCTGGTTTGTAACAGTTCACGTTGAAAATCAGCTCTGGATAACAACCATATTTGAAAGGACTACGTTCCAGCTGTGTTTCTCTTCCTGTGGATTACATGATATATTACGAGGGCACGAGGCCATTATGAAGTAACTTACCTCCAAGACACTCTCATTGCCAAGCTTAAGTCGATCATGCTTCTATGAGGTACATTGATTGTATTACGTTAACATGGCGCTTTGGATTTGACCTTTTTCATTCGGTGCTCCATTACACATCAACAAAGTCGTTTATCGAAACCGGTAGTGTTTTGAAAACATTCCAGTTTGAGGAATTATGGCATAGGTCAGAACTTACGGATATGTTTTTGCACCCTCTGGTCACCCATCTCACAAGAGAAATCCTTTGTTAACCAGGCTATGGTAAAACGGTCATATATTTATTTTAGGGTCTATCCTTTTCGTACTGATTTTTACAGTTAAGGACAATACGATGTCTGGCTTTCGACAGACAACTCCTGAACACTTGGAAGCCTTTGCGGAACTACAATCTGCCATAACGTCACTGGGATCTGATGATACCGGGATATCAGCGGAGATGGATGTTCTTCCACCGTATAATGAAGTACCAAGTAAGTATTCATACTACACCATCCATGCTGCATATACTGGCATATACCCTATATAAGGGTACATGTACGTTGCAAAAGTGACCTTATTTCGTTGAGATCATGGTTATTGTCTTGGAAGACAGCAAACTCACGTTTGACAGTCATATTCAATAATCAAGCCATGATTTGGTCAGTGTCAGATTACTGCTACCCACTGACAGATAATCTTATTAATAACACAGATATACGTGCAATATGTGTGTATCCATGGCAATTGTGGTCGTCCTTAATTTTTAGGTATTACACATTAAAGAAAAAAAATCACAATATCGGGTTTACATGTAACCAAAATCTTACCGATACGTAATAATAATGTCATTATCCAAAATGAGATATTGATGTGAAAGTTCAACAACGTAGTAAAAAAAATAAAAAAATAAAAACACGCATTAGAGGTATCTAATAAGGTTGGCCCTTTAAAGGCGAATTGCAT